CACACTGATACTGAGCTACTGAAGACACTGTGACCCAGTGCATTGATACTGAGCTACTCAACACACAATGACCCTGCTCTCCACCAGGGAACACTGAACACACTGTGACCCTGAGCACTAGCACTGAGGCACTGAACATTCTGCAGCTATGAGTTTTAGCACTGAGACACCAATCACACTGTGACCCTGAGCTCGAGCACCAAGACACTGAACACACTGCAGCCCTGCTCTCTAGCACTGATACACTGAACACACTACGACACTGAACACACTGCAGTCCTGCTCTCTAGCACTTATACACTGAACACACTGCAGCCCTGCTCTCTAGCACTGAAACACTGAACACATGGCAATCCTACATTCTAGCACTGAGACACTGAACACACTGCAGCCCTGCTCTCTAGCACTGGTACACTGAACACACTGCAGCCCTGTTCTCTAGCGCCGAGACACTGAACACACTGCAACACTGAACACACTGCAGCCCTGCTCTCTAGCACTGATACACTGAACACACTGCAACACTGAACACGCTGCAGCCCTGCTCTCTAGCACCGAGACACTGAACACACCCTTGCTACCTGCTCCTGCCTTTCTGTCCGTCCTCTCCCTCCTTTCCCCGTGACACCCCAGCAGCAGTGGCGGGGGCTCCCACACTGTGCTGCTCCAGAGATAAAGGCACCAACGTCCCTCCTCACCTTGACGACAGCGCAATCTGCAGGGGGGGGGTAGCAAAGCTGCAGCCCCGCGCCCTGGCCCACCCCCCCAGCAAGGATCATTGAGCTAATTAATAACGCGGCACAGAGAGGGATGGCAGTCATTAGCAAGCTGCTGCTGTCTCTCTTTCTACAAGGCAGAGAGGTGGTGGAGGCGGGGGGGTACAGCGCGTGAGGAGAAAACAGCATCACGCTTCCTCCGGCGCTCACAGCCTTAACCCCTGCCACTGCCATGGCGAGATCTGCAGCCACCGTCCCCCCGCCTACCCAGAGAGAGCAACAACACAGGCAGGACACCAGCCAGCGCAGGGCCAGCCAGGCGGTGAGGCCCAGGGCCGGTGAGGTCACTCAATAGGGCCATTGTGAGCCGCCAGTCCGGTTCCTAATTGGCTGTTGGGGTGTTGGGGGACAGGAAGGTGGAGGGTCATGCACCCCTGATCTACACACAGCTGTAGCCTCAAAAAATCCCTGCTCCCTCCTTTCAAACACAGCACCCCGCCACACCCACCCGCCACCGTCACTGCAGGTCCGCCCGCCCAGAATGCAGGGAGGCGCCGGATCACCGGATCACCAGATCGCCAGATCACCAGACCTGGGCGGTGCTGCTGGTCGGCCGTGGCACACAGCTGGTGGAGGATCAGCCCCGCCCTGCCCTGGAGTCGCAGCTCACGGTGGACTGCGAGTCCTGCCAGCTTCACCGGTGCAGCTGGCCATTCCACAACGGGACAGGGAAGGGGGGGTGCCAAGGCATGCCCAGCTCCAGAAAATAACAAAACAGCTCGCCTCCGCGCTACTCATTTCTCTCAAGCTTATTTATTACAGAAGTGATCACAACCATTCTGTCATCGGCGACACGGCTGGAGAACAAACACACACAAACTCGAAAGCTTATTTCTCTGCTGCGTAGTGCTGCCTGGTTTCTGGGTGCTGGAGACGGGAGGGATGGCGTCATCCGGGGGCCCGACAGGACGTGAACCCGGATTTATCTGCGCGTCTGCGTCCGGGGAAAGAGCTCGGCAGCCCTGCGCGCAAGTGTGCAATCCATCTTCGGTATTGACCCCTTCTAGACTGGGAGAGCACTTAGCGCCGTAACGCGCTGTAATAGCTGAGCCTTCCCTAATGAAAGGAAACAATTAACAAGGTAAACAAACACTCTGATCACGCAGGGCAGGGAGGGTGGCTGTGAGGAGGGGGTGTCTCTGGTGTCCTCATCCTTTCAGCGCTGCCGAGAGTGACAGGAGCAAACAGACTGCGGAGAAGAGGGGTGGAGGCGGAGGGGGGCTAGGAGAAAATCGATGCGTCCCCAGCGTTTGTGTCGGATGACTGTCGGCGCGCCCGTTTGCAGATGTCCAGGGAGAGATAATGGGAGACCCTGCAGCGTCGGGTCAGCGGGCAGTTGGGGGCTGTCTGGAGTCTGGCGTGCTTCAGTTTTACCAGAAAAATACAACGACTGGGAAAAAAAAAAAATAAATAAACAACCCTTCGGACTAGTGTTCTTTTGCTTTCGGGATCCAGATTGGGATAAGCAGCTGGGACCCCCTCCCTGCCTGTCCGCCTGGCCGGGCAGCAGCGTGGAGGAGAGGTCAGGTTCTGGACCTGTAACTGGGAGGGTGCGGGTTCGAATCTCAAGTGACACACTGCTATCATCCCCTCGAGCATGGGAAGGGCACTCCCCTCGAACAGTGAAATACCCAGCTGTACAAACGGCTGCAAAACCCACCGACTTCATCATGTTACCAAAGGTATAAATGCCCGAGGAGCCGGTAAAGTGGCAGGTGGGGGACGACACCGAAAATAAGGCAACGTCCTTCGTTTCACCTCTCTCTCAGCCAGGGACAGACAGAGGTGGATTTCCAAGTCTAAACTAAACTGGACTTTGGAACAACGCAGGACCTGGACAATAAACACGGGTCGTTCCTCCAGGAACACAGGGGCTGGCTGTCCACACCCCCCCCCCCGATTCAACAGGTGTCCATGAGAATGAAATCCGGATCAACGTTCTGGTATCCGTGACGGGACATTCGCTCCACGCTGCAGCACTCCTGGTCCGTGTGGCTTATTCCCAGCCCTGGGGCACCGCAGACTCCTGCACAGCGCTCTGGACTGAGCGTCAGCTCTTACCAGGGTGTTTTAAATGTGCCACTGCACCGGCAGAGGTGAGGTTCGAGGAATATTACAGCAGAACACCCCTGAGCCACCGCATCGCTTCCAGTGTGTGGCAACCATTCGCTGCACGGTTTCGCTCTTTCCACTGGCCTGAAGAAAGGAACCTCTTACACGCTGGAGGAACAAATAACTGTGGCTAAAAAGCCTAATATAAAACCAAGTGCTGCAGAATGGAAGTCAAGCACCAAAATCGGCAGTCTGGCACGGTGTATAACTGTCACACTGAGCGCAGTCTCGTGTCCCTGACCGCTTCCGATCGCAGCCGACTCACGTGCAGTCTTATCCAGCTCCTGGTCCGGACCGTTAATCAGAGCCATCCGTACGGACCTGAGACACCTGTGAAACCCGGAGCACGGATCAGACCGCTGAGCAACAGGAGTCTCCTCCCCCCATCCTCCCCGCCAGCGCCGCAGTCTGAGAGGCGCCGCCAGTCAGGGAGCGAGCAGCGCCAGGATGCCCAGCTCCTCCAGCCGCGCCCGGGCGATGCCCTCCCAGCCCTTGTTGGCGAGGGGGTTCCGGGGCGAGGGGTGCATGAGCCCCTCCACGCGCACCTCCATCCCGGCGGCGCCCAGCGCGCGGCGC